CCATCAGTCTGTTCCATGTTTCCATGTCTCTGGATTTATTTTGTTTCTCAGTTTATTTTGTTCATTAGATTCCACATATAAGTGAGATCATGTGAAAAGAAACCATCAATAAAATGAACAGGGATCCCACTGTATGGGAGAACATATTTGCCAATGATACACCTGATAAGGGGTTAATTTCCAAAATATATAAAGAACTAATACAACTTAACAAATGGAAGACAAACAATCCAATTAAAAAATTGGCAGAAGACCGAAACAGACACTTCTCCAAAGAGAACATACAAATGGCTAAGAGACCTATGAAAAAATGCTCCAAGTCACTAATCATCAGAGAGATGCAAATTAAAACAACAATGAGGTATCACCTTATACCTGTCAGAGTGGCACCATCAATAAATCAACAAATGGCACGTGCTGACGAGGATGTGGAGAAAGGGGAACCTAGTACACTGCTGGTGGGAATGCAGACTGGTGCAGCCAGTATGGAAACAGTATGGAGTTTACTCACAAAATTAAAAATGGAGCTGCCATTTCACCCAGTGATCACACTTCTAAGCATATATCCCAAGAATCCCAACACACCAATCAGAAAAAATATATGCACCCCTATGTTCATAGCAGTGCAGTTTACAATAGCTAAGATTTGGAAACAGCCCAAGTGCCCATCAGTAGATGAGTGGATAAAAAAGCTGTGGCACATTTACACAATGGAATACTATGCAGCTGTAAAGAAGAAGGCTCTCTTACCCTTTAGGACAGCATGGATGGACCTGGAGAGTATTATGCTAAGCAAAATAAGCCAGGCAGAGAAATACAAATATCACATGATCTCACTTATCCGTGGAATCTAAGTAGCTATTTAAGTCAAAGGCTTTATGGTTTCATTTTCTTATTAGTACTGTAAAATCACTTTAGTAAAAAGTGTGTAGTTTCTTTTTCTTATTAATACTTTCAGACCTTTTAAGTCAAAGCTTTTAATTTTGTGACCGATTATATTGTACGTTGATGTTAATGAAATTACAAGGGTGGTTAACAATGGTTGATGATGAAAAGATTAGGCAAGCTAGCAGTTAAATGAATCAGAGTGATTGGTACAGGGCCAATAAGGGCAGCTGGAACATAAAAACAAGAGGAATTTTCTATAATTGTGTCACCACTTTGCCATTGTTACTTCATTCCTCCACTTCATAGTGCATCAATCATTCATTCATTCAACAAATACTTACTCAGCACCTATTATGTGCCAGGCACTGTTCTATATGCAGAGGATACACCAGTGAACAAGAGAGACAAGGTTCCTGCTTTCCTGGAACTTATGTTCTAATACAGGAAGATAGACAATAATAATAAAAATAATATTAATTATAATAATAGCTGACATTTATTTAACAAGTACTGTTTTCTGAGACAGTTTTAAGCACTTTACAAGTATTAATTCACTAATTCTTATAATAACATTATGAAGTACGGACTAAAATTATTCCCAGTTTATACATGAGGAAACTGAGGGCACAGAAAGGAAAAATAGCTTGCCTAAGGTTACACAGCAAGGAAAGGGCAGAACTGGAATTTAGAACCAAACTAGTCATGCTATAGCTATCTTCCTCTTTTGACTTTGCTATGCTGCCTCTCAGGCAAGAAACAGGGCAATAAACAAATACTGAATAGAATATATTCAGGCAGGTTTAGTGCTATGAAAAAATAAAACAGGGTGATGTGGTGCTATATGTGTGTTGGAGGATTTGGGATGCAAATTTAGATGCCAGGGAAAACCTCACTGAGGAAGTGCCATTTGGACTGAGACCTGAAGGATGCTCATAGTTAATTTGGGGCACCGGCAGCAGAGAACAGCCAGTGTAAAGGAATCTTTTCTTGTTTGTGAAACAGAAATGCCTCGTTGGCTGTGGCTAGAACTAAAGTGTGTAAAAGAGGGACTTATTAAGTCAGGGAGATAGGCAGGCCAGGCCACACCTGATAGGTCCTTAGGCCACAGTAAGAAATTTAATTTTTATTCTAACTGCAGTGGATTTTTATGTAAGAGATCACACTTCCTGATTCGTAATTCTAAAAGATCACTCGCACTACTACAATATCTGCAAAACTGAATGTAGGACGAAAGTGGAAGCAGGAAGATGCATCAGGAGGCATTTACAACCCGGGTGGAAAACGATAGGGGCTTGGATAAGGGTCGTGACAGTGGAATAAAATTTAGGGCATATTTGGAAAGTTGAACTGGCAAGACTTGCAAAGGAAATGGATGTGCAGAGTGAATGAAGAGGAACTTAAGTTAAGAGCCTTGAGAGTTTGGTTTGGGTAACTAGTGTGAGGACAGTGTCCTTTACTGAGATGTGTAAGAGGGGGGCAGAAATACCTTCAGTAAGAAAAATCAGTATTTACATCTTGAACTTTATGGAGGAAAGGGACTTTTTCTACTTTTTTTTTTTTTTTTTTTTTTTGGAAAGTTTTAAACTACAAATTTGATTTCTTTGAAGGGCTTATCAGATTATCTAGTTCATTCTGGTTGAGTTTGGCTGTTTTATGGTTTTCTTCCTGTTTTGAAGGAAAAGAGGAAAACATTCAATGAGAGGGTCACATGTAATATGAATATCTTATTAGTAATTTGAGAAGTTTATAGAGTATAAAGTATTTTATACTCAGGATTTAACTATGGACTTGTTCATCAGGAATCTAAACCTTTGCTAAATGCAGTGTTGAGGGGTTTGTTTGTTTTTTCCTTTTTTCACCCCAAATCTCTGATTTTGTTGGTTCAATATTCAGATTAAAAGTAAATGATTCACTTTTTATGGTACCAAAACGTCAAGAGCCTAACAAGTGTTTTACTTGAAATCATACATGGAGTTAAGAAAGTAAAAACCTTCCTCAAAAAAGTATTGAAATAATACTTCAGATATGTGTTTTTTATGTTTACAGCTGTATTGCTCAGGGTTAACACGGAANAAGAGTTCTGGGGGGGAAAAAGCATTTTAATGTTCAATTTTATGAGCTCTTTACATTAGAAACTTGAGGGAGTTTAATTTTCATTTAACAAATAATTTATTGAGCATCTACTCTGGCCCAGGACTATGGGATGAGATAGCAAGACACACTAAGGACACAAGATCCCTGCTCCCGGACTGCTTTTGGGGGGGAGGTGAGGGAAGGACGATGGATTATTTTCCCCCCGGCTCCTCGTCTTATTAAAACTTCACCTAATGCTCGAGTAGCCATCTTACGGCCGCCTCCCGTGCTCCTGGCAGTTGGGCCCACCGTTCCAAACGCTCGAAGTCAATTAATAAATGAATGAATCTCTACTGGTGACATCTCCCCTCCCGCTAGAACTTAGATTTTTTTAATAAAAATTTTTAGCAAACAATACGAATACAACCTTTGCTTTTGAAGACTAATATTTTTTTTGCAGGAATGGTACCTTTATAAAGATCGTGGTTGCCCCCGTACTTATTTGTTCTTTCTTCATATCCAATTAAATGAAAATACTAGTTTTTCCGTAGCCCAACTCTCTAGGCTTGCTGGGTCTAGCTCAGGAGAAAGGCAGCAGGAGCCGTTGGATTTAAACAGTTTGGTGTAATCCTTTTCTACGCTCTCTCGCTAGCCGGGGACGTGGTGTCGGCTACCCGGGGCTTTCCGTCCACGCAGTACCGGAATGGAGTCTGGGAGGGGGTCGGGGAAGGAAAAGACGGAAGAGACATTAAGTAATTGGTTCTTGAAGGTATAAAATGATGTTTAGCATCAGCTCTAAGGCACCGAATTCAAACGCCCGCCCCCTCGGCCGTTTCGGCCCCGCCCCTCGCCGTCGTCACGCCGACTTCCCCCTTGACTTCCGCTGATTGGTCGCCGCCTCCGCCTCTGAAGGGCGGTGAAAGTGCTCGGGGTTTGCTTCCGGGTCTTGGGCTTTGGCCCCCGGTGCAGAGGACTCTGGGAGCCAAGAGTCGTTATGGCGTCTGTGTGATCTCCGGAGGCTGCTGAGTCGGACCTCGGCTAACGTGAGCGGCGGGAGGATAGCAGTTTGTCTTTCTTATCCGAGCGGGGCGGGAAAGGGCGGTTGGGATCGGAGTCGCCGGCGGAGAACCGAGCGCGGGTGGAGGAGGCCCCAGAGCGGCGGGCGGGTGGTGGAGCCCAGCGCCTGCGGGCGCGTCTCAAGTCCCGGGCGCCGCGGAGAACGCAGCTCGAACGCGGCATTGCAGACGGCGTTAAGCAGGGCCCCGGCTTCCCCACCCCTCCCCGAGTCGGCGAGGCGAAGAGTCAGCGAGTTCCTGGTGACATCCCGAAGGTGAACTGCCGGGAGACGGGAAGGATAATTACCCAGGGGTGTGTGGGAGAGAGACGGCGGCGCCCCCAGAGGCGGGAAGCACTGTTTCTCCCCCTCTGGACACATCCCTTTCCCCTTTTTTGAAATATCTAGAGACAGACCGGTTGCCCCAGCATCCCCCGCACACTTCCTTTTCCGACGCTTAACAGGGTTTTTAGTAGCCAGTTCTGATATGAGAGAATATTTTGGCTGCCCGTAACCAAAAGTAACATAAGGAGCGGGTCCTCGATTTTATCAGCATTCCTTTGGGGGTGAGGTGCCTGTGTTTTGAGCATTCCTTTAATTATAACCTAAAAAAGGTCTGATTTGTGTTATTTTGGCTGCTGTAAGAGAAAATTGAATCAACAAAAGGTTGGAGAATTTTGCCCAGGTGACTGTTATTGAAGTTTAGCTCACTTTTATGCAGGACGTTCAGTAATTGTGATTAAAATAACCTTTTTTGTTTTGGTGATTTTTAAATATTTTTGTAGTTTCTAGCCTATTTTCTGTTGTGTGAGGTTTAGATAAAATGTGAGCCTTAGGGAGTCTGGTGGAGTAAGGTGGAGTTGAGAATTTTTAAAACTCAGTCATGGCAATGCAATACTGTATTTTACAAGGGCTTTGCCATGTCATATCTTATAATCCATGAGGAGTATCGCCATTCCACAGATGACAAAAACTTAGCTAGGTGACTTGCCCAAGGCCACAGAGCCAAAACAACAGGAGGACAAACTCAGGTCTTCATGACAGAACTTTTTGTACTAAATAGGAATTACCTAAGAAGCCTTATTCTTTGTACACCCTGAGCCTCATTATTTATTTTCTTGAGAACTTTGTTTTGAGGTTATTTAAATAAGTTTTGGGGAAAGAGTTATGGAAATTATTTCACAAGGATGGATATTAATAAGTACATTAAGAAATGAGAATTTGTCATATGGGAAATAACTTGATACTATTTTTCTTCAAAGCATAAAAGATGACAACAGCAGCTCGGCCAACTTTTGAACCTGCGAGAGGTGGGAGAGGAAAGGGAGAAGGTGATTTGAGCCAACTCTCAAAGCAATATTCAAGTAGAGACCTACCCTCTCATACAAAGATAAAATATAGGTAATGAAGACTTTCATTTTTTTCTTGTTCACAAAGCAAAACCAAATCTGTTAAATGGCATGGTAATGAGATAGTGGCATGTCTGGGTTATATCACTTAAGTAATTTATTTTTATACGAGTAGAATGCAATAGATTATCTAACACTAAAATTATGTGCTATGATTGTAAAAAGCTACCCAGTATTTCTTAAGCAGAAATTCCTATTAACCAAGAATATCCATATATAGATGGAAAAATAATAAATTACTTCAGAGAGACAATGCACTGTCAGTACTAAACAATAGGAGAAAAAAAGTGTTACTGTAACATACCTTGACTTGACCTACTAACAAAAAGTAAAGACATTTTAATCAATCTCCAGCCTTATGGGAGTATATGTGATTCATTTTGGGATTTTTAAAATATTGGAAATATCACGTGGATGCCTGTTAGTAACCCTTAGATTAGGGTGAGGGCAAAGTTGCTTTTTGTGAATTATCTTTCATTGCTATAGCCATGTGTTTTTTAAGAAACATTTTTGCCCTGGCTTATTTCTACTTTAGACAGACCACTCAGGATGCCCCTGAAGAGGTTCGGAACCGTGATTTCAGAAGAGAGTTAGAAGAGAGAGAGAGAGTTGCTGCAAGAGAAAAAAATAGAGATCGTCCAACTCGAGGTACCAACACTACCCCAGACATTTGTCTCATAAGATTGTTGACAGTAGTTTTTCTTTCAATTGGTAATTGGAACAGGTTACTATTTTTGTTTGTTTGCTTTTAAATATTGGTGTGAGCCACAACACTTTGCTAAATGATATATGACTAGATTAGATTAGAAACGTTAACAGGTTGATTCCAGTTCCATCTTTTTATGGTTCTATATTACAAGGAACAAGGTGACCTGGGGATATTTAGCAGCTATTGTTTCAGTTTATATCAAGGAGTTTTTGACTATTTACAAGAGCCAGACTTTTTGAGGCCCCATGGTTTCTGTCTATGAAGTTCACCCATTTTTGTCACTGGCTATCGAAGGCATCTAGGGGCATATATTTCCAGCTTATGTAAACTGTTCTCTAAATTTCCTGAGAGGCTACAGTTCCCGTATTAAAATCAATACTTTCATTAACCTAACAAATATTTATTACCAAGGGCTTATTTGCCAGGCACTGTGGTTTTGATCCCTGCTATAACAATAGTTATAATCTAAGTTCTTTGTGCCCACAGGTGCTTGAAATGTTATGAGAAATGCAGTATTTGTTTCAGTAAACTAAGTGATGTTTGTCTTTTCCCAGAACACACAACCTCCTCTTCTGTGTCAAAGAAGCCTCGGTTAGACCAGATTCCCGCTGCCAACCTTGATGCAGATGATCCTCTAACAGATGTATGTTTTGTTTTCTCCTCTCTTCTCCATAGTAATTTATATCATGTTTTCTGAGATACTTTTTTATTCTTGTAACTTTAAAAAAGTGCCCTGTGTTTATTTTTACTTAACTGTTATTCAAATGCTGAACTTTATAGTTGATTTTAAGACAAGAAGTGTTGCTATGTGGTTAATCAAACTTCAAGTTTGATCTCTGGAGAACCAAATGAGGAACTGATCTATTAAAGAATATGCTTTGCTAAAAAATAACTTCCTATATTAAACCATAGAGATTGGGCTACCATGGTATAGATCTCTAGAGTGCACTTTTCTGACTGGACTGTGTCTATAGCAGCCCCTTGCATTGAATCCCGGGGCCTTTCCACATTAGGTACTAATGATGCCCCTCCAGATGTGCGATACACTTAATGGCTCCCTTTGTGCTTAGGAAAGGAAGTGATCTAAGTGGAAGGTTTTTAAGGATTAGTGCTTTGGTTAACATTAAAATGTAATGGGACCCACAGTCTACAGGTAATTTTGCAGTTTTCTATATACAATGAAATCCTAGTGACTTTTTATGAGTAGCATCTAATTAAGCACATATGTCAGCAGTTAATTCTAGAGTAGACAGATTGAGTTAAATAATTCAGTAATTAAATATAGCGAAGTCAATGAGATTTAATGATTATTCATTTGAAGTTGGTTTCTTCTGAGGATTTAGCACCCTTTTTTACTTTTGATTATCCTAACTTCCTAGCTCAAAGTTGTTTTGAGCTGTGTAAAACTATTTTGATTCTCAAGGTGATATGCTATATACATATGTACTGTGTATCAGTGTAAAGTGTTCCTTTTCTAGTTTCAGAAGTATTTTTATATCTAAATTCACTTTTGACTATGTAAATTTGAAAGATATTTTGTAATACTATTTGTTGTTATAATCTCTAAAACACATTAGGGGGTCACATTTTAATAAGTATTCATAAGCTTTTTTGTGGGCTCTGTTTTTTGGTTGGTTGTTTTTAATATTTAGGTGCATTTATTTTTCCCACTAGGAAAATTAATTCTACTCCAAAGATCTGATGAGTGCAATTTTTATGGAAAAAGATGAATAATGTGAATTTTCTCTCCAACGGGCCATCACATTCTTTTTTAGGAGGAAGATGAAGATGAAGATTTTGAAGAAGAGAGTGATGATGATGATACTGCAGCTCTTCTTGCAGAACTAGAAAAAATTAAAAAAGAAAGAGCTGAAGAGCAAGCCAGAAAGGTAAAATCAAAGTGTTAAATATTTACATCATCTTACATAAACTAAAGTAGAAATATTTTTAATTCAAGTAATATCTTATGTTAGAAATCGTCCTTGCCATCTTTAGCTATTACAGCACCTATAGATCTATAAATCTGATAATTTCTTGTGGCATTTTAAGTCTCTTGGTTATGTTAGAAATTCTTTCCAAGTAGTTCAGGCATGCTTAATAATATACTAATCAAGTTGTTCTTTATCCACTTATTTGTTTGTTTGCTCAACAGACATTTAGTTAATGTCTATTAAGTGTCAGAAGAACCAAAAATGATTAAGATTTAGTCATGGCCTACAAAGAACTCACGAACACAGTGAGGCCATCATCTTTTCTCTGCTTGTTTCTTGCCTTGGCCTTCTTTTCAGGAACTTGTTGAAGCAGTCTGTCAATAGATTTTATATAACCTAGGGCAATTTACCTAACTTCTCTGATTCCCCACAGTCTCTCAATTTATACAATGGGGAAAAAGAATATCTAGCTCAAAGAGAGTTATAAAGATTAAATAGGATCCATAATGATAAAAATAAGAAACTGGGGAGAAAAGAGCAGGTCAAAAGGATTAGAGATTTGTTAACCAATGCTAAAGGAGTTTGGACTCTGTTCTAAATGATTTGAGAAGCTAGTCAGTTTCAGTAGAGATTGGTGAAATTGGATGTGCATTTTAGAACGATTACTCTGGCAAAATTATGGACGGTACATAGGAAAGAACTGATGCAGGAGGCTGTTCCAGTAATCCTCACATGTAGTTATGAGAATTGTACATAAAAGAAGTTGAAATTGAAAGAAGTAAACAGATGCTGATAGAGCTATCAAGGAGGTAGAATTAACCACATAAAGGCACTGATCAGATATGACAGTAAAGATGACCCCCATTTTCTGCATAGATGTTGGCGCCATATACTAACACAGGGAATACAGAAGGATGGGCATGTTTAGGTGGAGAGAAAAGAGTTGATGAGTTCTGTTCAGAACATGTTGAATTGTGAGATGTCCAAGTAGAGATATCTGCCTCCACTTTCAACCAGAACAGAGCGGCTATTTCATGGTGGCTGTGTAAGATTTCATTTGAGCCAAGAATTGTTCTATTTAAAAAGAGAGGAAGAAGACTTAAAGAAAATGCTGACGGAGGTTAATGCTTGAAATATAGGGAGGTAGAGTTCCCGTGGGTCAAAAGGATCCAGGAAGAATTCAGAAAAGAGGTTGAATTTGGGATAAGCTTTGAAGACTTCCAGAATTCAGATTAGAAGAAGAAAAATAGTTTATTATTCAGTTATCAGAGTTTGGCATAGGATAGCATAACTTCTATACTAGCTTATAATTTTTATATCTAATTGCAGAACTCAAAGAATTTAAGAACATTCCTAATACCACTTGTTCACCACTAGAGGGCGGTGTTCCATTCTCAATTCTTTTGCTTTATCTAACAGCTCTCACTGTAAAGAGATGAGCAATTTAAACGCGTTGGTTGCCCTTCAGGGAGGGCAGACAGTTTAGACAGAAGATCTTGGAATTTTGTGAGGTTTTTCTAGTCTTTGTACAAAAATGTGTTGGTGTTTGTTGGGGTTGACAGACAATTTTAGTTCTTTAGTCCCTATTTCCCTGGCTCTCTAGTGGTTGGTTTTTGAGTGTCCCAAAATAACATTTCATACCAGTCTGTCTGTATCAGGGCCAGATAGTAAATATTTGAGGCTTGTGGGCCACAAGGCCCGTCACAACTATTCAGCTTGGCTGGTTGTAGTACGAGCAGCCGTAGACAGTGCTTAAATAAGTGAATGTGACTGTGTTCCAATACATTTTATTTACAAAACAGCGTGGTTTGGATTTGACCCACAGGCTATACGGCTTTTAGCCTGTGTTCATAAAGCACAATGTGTCTGGTACCTGAATATGGAAAGAATTGGCACCTTTTATTTCCAGGGTTGTGTGTAACAACCAACCAGTAACTCTAAAGGAAATATATTCCCAACAGCATGGCCAGGACCTTATTACGTCACACAGATTGTTATAAGTTTGGATACATTATATACTTGAGCTGTTTTCCTAGCATCTCAGAGAAATATCTTTAACCTTTAAAAGACGGCATTTAAAAGACAGCATCATACAAACTCCATATATTTTTCAGGATCAACTGTACAAATAATGGTTTCTTTCCTTTTGCCTGTAAAAAAGAACGTATATGCTTAGGTTTCTGAGTATTTAATTTTAGTATCAATATAATTTGTTAAAAATAAACATAGCTTATAGAAAGCTATCTGTTCTTTTTTTTTTTTTTTTTAATATACCCTTATTGATTTCAGAGAGAGGAAGGGAGAGGGGGAGAGAGAGATAGAAACATCATTGATGAGAGAGTCATTGATCCGCTGCCCCCCACATGGCCCTGTCTGGGGATTGAGCCTGCAACCTGGGCATGTGCCCTGACCAGGAATCAAACCTCGATCTGCTGGATCCTAGGTCGATGCTCAACCACTGAGTCACACCCAGCTGGGCTAAAGCTTTCTGTTCTTAATCTATGGTAGATGTTCCTGACTTTGTTAAAGGTCTGAGCAATGGCCTAAAATATTTCCCACCCTGAAAATTGCATTTTCTCGCCTTCCAGTTATTTGGCCTCATAAAAAAATTAAATCCAGTGTTCACATTTGTATGTTGAGGGGACTGGGTGGGGAGGAGTGGAGGGATTGAGCAAAAAAGAAAAAGAGAAAAAAACTCATGGATATGGACAACAGTGCAGTGATTGCCTGGGGAAGGGGGTTGGGGGAAGTGGAAGGTATAGGGAGGCTAAATGGTGATGGACGGAGACTTGACCTGGGTACAGATGGTGTGTTGTAGAATTGTGCACCTGAAACCTGTATAATTTTGTTAACCAGTGTCACCCCAATAAATTCAATGTAAAAAAAAATGAAGTATCATTAACCTATATTGAAAATCAGGTTATTTTTCCAAGTGGTTTAACATAAGTTTGTTTAAAATGGACTTCCAGAAAGTCTCTTTTTCCTTGATCTATTAAGTCATCAATTTTTATCATCCCCAAGACACAGCAAAGTGGGATTTATCTTTGGGTTAAGATAGCATGGACTCAGGTAGATCTACCAGTTATAGTTAAGGATTTTAGACATTTTATTTTACTAATTCTAAGAAAAACTGGGGGGGATTTGAATTTAAAGAGGTTAATGCTAAAATAAAAGTGAAGAAAGATAAGCTTGAACTGATAAGGTATGAGAGGTATAAATAGAAAGTAATCATAACAATGAATAAATTGGTAGAAATGCATGTTAATGATATAATTTTGATAGTTTGTCTTAGTTTAGGAGATACTTCTTGGTTAATAAAACTTGTCAATAATTTAAGAGTGCAAGTTTACATTGTTAGTAATTCAAAATAAAAAGTATTTCTAAGCATTTATGTATAACCCTTTAAAAATCGAGGTAATAGCTTTATTAGATGTCTTTGATGTTTAGTATATTCTTAACTTATTAGAATGTTTATTGGTGTACTATCTTAAAATAAGCAATTTTGTGTTTACTTCAAGAAAGAAAATAGATTTAAGTATGCCTCTGAAGAATTTTAGAGTCAGAAGAGACTAATGAATGTATGATGGCATGCGTGAAATATTTATAATAAAAATGTGAAATTATTTTATTTTGAAAAGTGAGACTTTTCTGGTATGTCTTAAAAACAAACAAAAAACAACCTAAGTACCTTAATGCTTATCCCTAACAGTCTTTTAAAATACGAGTTGTATAAGCAGATTGACCCTGCAGTTAATGTAAGTAAATATGAATCTTTCCCTGTCGTTGACAGGAACAAGAACAAAAAGCTGAAGAAGAAAGGATTCGTATGGAAAACATTCTGAGTGGAAACCCTCTCCTTAATCTCACTGGCCCATCTCAGCCTCAGGCCAACTTCAAAGTAAAAAGAAGGTACTTTGCATTAATGAGTTGGAAATATATATACACACACGTTATGAGTTTTATAGCAAACTGTATTATTTAAAGCTTCTAAAATCCCACTTTCCACTGATACTGTGTCAGATGTTGGAGTAATGGAAGGAGAGTGAAAGAAAATATATTTTCAATAGATATTTACAATAACCAGCTTAGAGATGGTGCAGTGCACTAAGCCTTTGGCCCTACAAATTTCACATTTTAGTTGTGTGTGTCAAGGGTCCCAAGACCACCCTTTACATTTGAAGACTCACTAGAAGGACTCAGGGGACTCAGCATAGTTGTACTCATGACAAATGTAGTAAAGTTACACAGCCAGATCATAAGGGGAAAGGGCATTGAAGGAATCCAGGTGCACACTTCATATGCTCTGTTCCTTCCATGAGGGGCACACAGAACACATCCTTTCCCCTAGCAATGAAAATGTAGTAATATCTGTGTAATGGTTCTGCCAAGGGAAGCCCATTAGAGACTCTTGTGTCCCAAGGATTTTATTGAGGGGTAGTCATATAGGTAACCTCTGCCTAGCACATACCAAAATTCAGACTCCCAGAAAGGAAATGGGTTCCTCATAAACCACATTATTTGTACATACAATCTAGGCTCAGTGATAGAAGATTCCTGGAGTCCACTTTCCAAATGCCAGCCTAGGGCCAGCCTTCAAGCAGGCCTTTCTGAAGGGGGCAGTTTTAGGCCTGCCATGTTAACTCTTTTGTACAGTGTATGTGTTTGGAGGGGGGAAGTAGAAAGCTGAAGGGGAGAGAATGTAAACAGTAAATACTGAATATAGCCCTTGCCAGGTAGCTTGGTTGGTTAGAGTGTTGTCCCGATGCACCAAGGTTGCTGGTTTGATCTCTAGTCAGGGCACAAGGAGTAACCAATGAATGCATAAGTAAGTGGAACAACAAACCAATAATTCATTCATATTATCCCCTCCACTCCCCCCAAAATCAATAAAAATTTTTTAAAAATTTCTAAAGAAACTTATGTGCTACATAGGAAAACCACTATTAAGCAAATAATTACCACCACCCTTAACAGAAGCAAAAAGTAATAATTGAATATAGTATTTCAGATAGTGATACATAGGCAAATGAAACAGAACAGCTTATAGGAAGTGCTGAGAGGGAGGAAGGTTGGTTATTTTGTGTAAGGTGATCAGGGAACCCTGTAGGCTTAGCTTTTCCACCATATCTGATTTCTCACCACCTCCACTGCTACCATCTCCAGTCTGGAGTGATGCAGGGCCCCTAACTGGTCCTCTGCTTGGCCTCACCACTCTCTCCATCCCCACCCCCAGTTTTTCCGCTCTCACACCAGTGCTTTGGTCCTTTTAAAATGAAAGCTCACAGTCTTCTGTTTTAGGCCATCTAGTGGCTTCCCAACTTGTTCATAGTAAAAACTTGGCTCCTTACAATGGCAATGGCATGGTTGAGGACTGGAATTGCCTGGCAGGTGACATTTGATCAGACACAAGACTCTTTCAGGTGTCTGACCTGAACGATGAAAAGGCTAGAAATGGAGAGGAATGTAAACAGTGGTGGGGTAGGGGAAGTAACAGATACAAGACAGGCTGAGTTCAGAAGGTTATGTAGATCTATGTGGAGCTGTTGAGTTGGGTAGCTTGATGAATGGCTCTGGAGTTAATCCAAGGTAGGGATAATGAATTTGGGAGCTGTCAACTTGTAGAAGGTTCCTAAAGCTATGAAGACTAGCTGAGGTCACCTATAGAATGAGTACAGCCAGAGGGAGAAGTCAGAGGACTGAGCCTGGGATCATGTTTAGAGATGAGAGAGGTGGTTAGCTGTCAATACCCGGAACATACTTGGTGCCCAGTACATAACTAGGTACTCAATAAATATTGATTGAATGAATTTTGTATGAAAAAAATTAGGCTAAGGAGGAGCAGCCAGTGAGGATGGAGCAGAACCAAAAGAGATTGGTGGGTGTCTTGGAAGCCAAGCAAACAGCTTGTTTTCTAGAGGTTAAGTCAAGTATTGATGACAGGGTGAATAAAATGAGTGCTGGGAAGTGGCCATTGGATTTAGCAGCATGGGAGAGCAGGTTGGTGTTGAGAAGGGGGGGCTAAAAGCTTTTTGGGGGTGAGTTGAGAGAGGATAGAGGAAAAACTACATCGATTATATTTTTATTGATATTAAACTCTGTACTTGGTTCTCCTGCCTTATTTGGATCCAGATGGAATTGTGTGGTGACCGGAACAGGTCTTAATATGCAGGTCACATTTGACCCAGCTGAGCTCAGCTTTTCACTCATCTGTGTCCTGCACCGTAACTTTACTAACGCTGCTTCCAAAGATGCCACATTCTTGCTTATTTTCTGTGTGCAGTTTCTTCTGGCATACATGGGCACACAAACACACATGGGCTTCATTTTATATGTATTTGTGAGTATGTTACAGAATGGGTTTTTGTTTTATATGCTAGATGATATTTTGAAATTACACTCTTGGTTTTCTGTAAAACATGCATTTTATAGCCCATCCATGGGTGTTTTTTATGCATGTGCATTATAAAACCAAACCAGAAGAATCTGACCACAGTCCTGCCCTAAACTCTTCATCTTCAGCTGCTGTTTTTCATGATTAATCCAGTACTTTCTTTTCCTTTTGTTGTCCTAAAATATAAATACTACAGTAGATGATTGCTAAATGTTAACTAATGAAAGAGTAGATAAAATCCTTAAAACCACATAATCTGAACTACAGTAAATTTTTCAGTCAATTATCATCTAGAGTTTTCTGTACTAACCTGGGTGGTGCCAGGTACTGCCTCTTTGTTTTAGACCTGAAAACATTTGATATTTATGCAACTGAAATTTATGTATTTCTGCTTTCTGAAATAATCAAAGCTTCTTATACTGGAGAAGTAATAAGAATGCTTTCCCCAGCCGGGCGTGGCTCAGCAGTTGAGCATCAACCTAGGATCCAGGGGATCAGGGTTCGATTCCCAGTCAGGGCACATGCCCGGGTTGCAGGCTCGATCCCCAGTCGGGGGCATGCAGGAGGCAGCCGATCAATGACTCTCTCGTCATTGATGTTTCTATCTCTCTCCCTCTCCTTTCCTCTCTGAAATCAATAAAGATATATTAAAAAAAAAAAAAAAAAGAATGCTTTATATGTCTAAATAGGAATTTCCCTTTCTGCTATTATAGAGCAATATTACAGCCTATCCAACATTACTTTATTCTTTTGGGTATATGTAATTGCTGCCACTGTATACACGTTGAGCAGCTTTCTGTGTAATGACTAAGCTTTGCATTTCACAGGGTGTTGTCTCCTGAAACAAGTGTTATAAGAACATTCTATTTTCTTTTTTTCCCCTCAGGTGGGATGATGATGTTGTTTTCAAGAACTGTGCAAAAGGTGTAGATGACCAGAAGAAAGACAAAAGATTTGTCAACGATACTCTGCGATCTGAATTTCACAAAAAGTTCATGGAGAAATATATTAAATAGTACAGTTTTATGTGCTTAATTAAAGACTATAAAATGTAAATGATCATTCTGACTTTATTTGGGTTGGTGGTTGTTGGGGTTTTTTCTCTTTCTCCCCATTTAAATTGTGAATAGGGTGCCCTAATTTTAAGTTCTAAAATATCTTTTTCTTGATTTACCTTATTTGATAAGGACTTGGGAATTGGTTTAACCCAGTTTCCAGTCATGTTTTCTTTTTAATATGAAAAGGTAATCTGCTTGTAATACGTGCTTTTAATAATCTAACCAAATCCGTGTCCCCCAACTTTTTTGTTGAAATGTATGCAGCTTATGAAGCATTGCACTTTTTTTTGTGTGTATTATATTTCTTTATATATTAACTTTTTCTCATTTCTCTAACATGAATTTAAGGTCAGTTAATTCATGATATCTTTTCTGTGTTTTTAACGAGCATGATGAAAGTTTAAAGGGATTCCGTTGTGGCCCACATGATGGTATGGAAGGGTATCATCAACCAGGAAGCACCTCGATTGTGTGTCTGAGGAAGCACAGGGTATCTTACTTCTGCAGAGGCTCCTTTCTTGGCCCAAGACGAGAGCTCCTGAAGCTGCCTTGGAAGCGTGTGGCACTTACCTTGTCCTGGAACTCAGCTCCCGTGTTTCTCTCAGTGAGAGAGAGCTTGCACACTGCCACACATTAGATGCAAAGCCTAGGAGAGTTACCATCAAACGATACATGAAATAAAACCTTTGGAAGTTGAATTTTGCTTATTTGTTTGTTATCTTGGAGAATGTGTATGTGTAAAGTGGACACGTCTCTACACAGCTGGAAAATGAAGTTTTTCTAAACCTGGGCTGTCATTTTAAGGGTGTCACTTTGACAGAAAGTGACCAAAAATGAGGCTTTTACAGATATACTCTATAGAGACCCATGCTAAGACCTTGTCCACTACAGCATTTCCCCAGTGGAATCTGGGACACAGGATGTGTGTGGTCCCAGTCAGGAGTACAGCTAGACTTAGAGCCCAGGTCTGCACTCCACATTCATGCTCTGCATTTACTTCCCAACTGAGCTATGGACTTAAAATTTTGAATATTTTGACTAGTGTTTTCTTTAAACCTTTAATAATAATAAAACATTTTTATCTCCAACTTTACAATTTATAAGGTGACTTTGCATTCATTTTAACTTTTTTCATAGCACTAATAGAAAAGTACCAGATTGTTTAAAGAAAAATTAAACTCAGGCTGAGTGAATGGATCAAGGTTAATACATGGTGGGACATGTGTGAGTGCCTTAAAATTGCATGAAAATGTGCTTGCAGATGTGAATGACATTATTAGAATTCCCAAACGGGTCTGTTTTGGGCACACCGTTACTCCAAGATGCACTTCAGATTTCCTGTTTGAGCTTTTCAGGAAAAAACAGGCTGACTTCAATGATTTCTCCCTTTCCCTAATATTTTACAGTGTAAACCAACATCATATAACTAGTCATAGGTCCAGGACACATAAAAGGCACGGTTTCAGCTCTCAGATTTATGGAACAGGTAGCCTTAGCTAAATGCCTTCCTTCCCCTTAGCCAAACCTGTGTTGACTTGAGTGAGGAATCTGTCCAATCCCTTCAAGGGCCCACGCTGAGCCAGGGCTTTGAAGCCAGCTGGACCTGGATGTGCTGCCCAGCTCTGTCACCTCGGGCTTTACTAAACTGCAGCCATTTAATCGACACCACTCCCTGCAAAGTAGGCATTCTTTTCCCTGGTTCACCGCTAGGGAAACTGAAGTTTGCAAGAAAACGAAAAAGAAGCAAAGTCATAAATCTTTAAGGGGATAGGGCCAGATTCAAACCTGGAACTTCCTTTATTCTAAAGCCCATCTTAACTGGTATGTATGACTGCCTCTCTTAATTAGCCCTTCTGAGTTTTCTCACCTATGAACCATAGTAAGGAGACAATTGCAAGGAAGTTTGGTGGGAATTAACAATATAAAATGTAAGTGTGGCAGGCACACAGTTGGGATTTCACACATGTTCTACCTGCCTCTAGTGGAGAGCAGGGGCTGGCTGGAAGTATGAAAGCCTGTTCTATCATAAAGGTCTGGTTTTGAATTAAGAGCATCCCTAGTCCCTCAGAGCTTGGCTTTGGCGACAGGTATGGTGGACAGGGGATGCTTTTACTTAGTTGCTAGGATTAGAAACCCAGTAACAGAAGAAACTCAGTGAAACAGAGGTTTACCTGAACACATAAAAGGCACCTCCTCTGTCCAGCTCTTGTGTTTCTCACTATTCATCTGCCCCACTTCTGCAGGGCTAGATTTCTGCACCAAAACAGCTAGAGGCCACTCATTCATGCTCCTGGCACCCCTGGAAGTGAGTCTGTCGCTCCACCAGCCATCAGAGTGCCTATGTTCTGAGATAAAGCTGGTCCAGTGAGCAGGGGCCAGGTACTGGGTTACCTAGTACAAATGTGGGCAAGGGCAGGGAGATGCTGACAATACACCCTCTAGAACGGACACAGCTTGAGATTCTCAGCCACGCACATGGTAGACAAAACCTGGAAACATACCACAGCTGTCACTCCAATCTTAGGGGTAGTGCTTGCAGCTCCCCCCAGGATCTGGCACCGTGCTAGGGGCATAACAAGGGCTGCCCTCTGTGCTCTCTCATGCCCCACGCAGGCCTGGGCACAGACACAGGGTTGGGTACTCGCCCAGGCACAGGTGGAAAAGCTGGGACCCAGAGAGCACATGCCTGGGAGACCCACCCAGAGCAGGGCCTGCTGGGCCAGCTTCCTGAGGGACCCTGGAGCACTAGTTCCAGGGAGCATGGTGCGGCTTGTCCTGTCCTTGAGACACCTTAGAAGTAGGTCTAATTGGATTGAACTACTCCTCGGGGGAGAGGGAGAGCGAGTGAAAGGGAGAAGAGGAGAGCTGGAGCTTCTGAGGGCTGGGGTATCCCCCTTCTCTGGGCCAAGGTCTGTGGAACACAGAAGACAGTCCCAGCCTTGGAGTCCACCTTTCAGCAAATGCTCGGTGCTGTTTTATTGCAGAGGTGGTGTTGGGATGTAGCACTCACACCTTCCTCTAATCACACTCCCACAGAGGCCATAATCCTAGAAAAGCGATCTGAGAAGGGACTCCCCAGGTCCCAGGGCAAATGATGAGGTTGTCCTTGGCAAGGCAGGAAACCAAACTCCGCCCTCTGCCTTCCCCTCCTGCTGTTCAAGCAGCTCTGGTATTTATAGCATATTTTTGGAATAGTGAGGATAAGGTGCCCTACCATGTTAGGAAGCCGTATAGGTTTTGAAGGTATTTTTAACTTACAATGAAGCATTATTCAAAGGTGATTTATGGATTAAAGCCCAGCATAGCTTGGCCAGAACTAGCCTAATTACATCTCATGCGGGAATTCTAGATTCACAGAGAAGCACAAGGATCTTGGGAGATCTATGGTTCTGACCTTGGAGAATGTTCTAATGTCAGGAAAATATTTTATTGCTACTGCATTAAGGGATCCAAGTGATTCATTCCAAAATGTTAAGCTCTTGAATTTAGTGATTCTGTGACTGTGGATTGATTTTTCATATCCACAAAGGTATTTTTATATAATGTATGGTTCATTTAAAAGTGGTGTAAAAGTTTTTTCTGACATGTTTGGATAGCTTGGGTGATAGGACCTATCCTCTCTGTCCCAGGGTGGACTTTGCGGCCACCCTCAGGGCAAAGTAAGTCAGAGTTTCTACAGGAGAGCAACCATCTGCATGTGGATCCCCCTCCTGCATAGTGGTCCACTGTGAACACAAGGTCAACATTCATCAGATGACAGGCTTGCTCCCTTCAGACTTCCCTGCATGCCTTCCCCTCATTTTCTTTTTATTTTTTAAGAAAATATATCTTTATTGATTTCAGAGAGAGGAAGGGAGAGGGAGAAAGAGAAACATCAAATCAATGATGAGAGTCATTGATCAGCTGCCTCCTGCACCCCCCTCCCCCACTGGGGATGGAGCCCACAACCCGGGCATGTGCCCTGACCGGAAATCAAACCCTGACCTCCTAGTTGATAGGTGGATGCTCAACCATTAAGACACACTGGCCGGGGCTTTACTTCTGAATTTTTAAAATTTTGATATATATATTTCACATAAAAATAAATATAATTATATCTCATGTATTAAGTGTGCTTTTCAAAAAAAATAGATAAAATGACCCAGTATTTTTCTTTTACTTGGCTTCTTGCTTTCTGTTTTCCTGTTTTCTCTCTCTACTTCTTCACATTAGCATCCACTACATAACCCATTTCTCTGTGCTCACAGTCTCTCCCTCTCTCTCCCTCTCTCTCACCCATTTGTCTGTTTTTTATATATATGAGATCATATGACATAATTATATGACTGCTATTCCTATTCAACAACAACAAAAATTTTCAAGATAACTGGTTCTAATTCATTCTCCTTAATGGCTATGTGCAAGACTCAGTGATGTTGTGGAACCATCTGGTATTTAACAATTACCTCTTACAAAAACTACTTAGTAAATAGTCAGAAATTTTGTAAGCTAATTATAAAAGCTTGAAATCATCTGTGAAGGAAGAATTTACACCATGGAAATTGGCAAACACTACAAATCAGCACCTTTTTTTTTTTTTTAGAGAGCTAGCACACCCCCAGTGAAAGTTTATAACATTTTATACAAGCAATCACATTTTGACTGGCTGTTTATTTTATATCTCTTTTCTATTTCTTTTCTGCCTCCCCCACCTCCCCCATGTGTGGTAATAAACTCAGGATTTGAGCAGTGCTGTACTGAAGAGGCTTGGGCAGTTCCCCTAAGTCATTCTGAGCCCAGCCTGGGCAGGATAATGGGGAGTCCCAGGTATCAGACCCCAACGGCAGCTACCTTATTGTTTCCTTGCTGCCTCCATTTTTAAGAATGCCTTATGTGGAGACTTTCTATGGGGTTCTCCCAGAGTATTAAGCCTCTCATTCTTCCTTCCATTTCATGGTTTCTCCACCCTGCTTGCCTGTTGCCCTTTGCTGCTCCTTCGCCCTTAACATTCTGAGGAAGATCCACATAGAATAACTAAGTCACAGTCCCCCGCATTTTGAAAATTCTGCACCTTGGGGGATTGTGGGTGCTGGGGAAGCTGGGTAGCAATGGGAAGAGTTTGCTCCACTGGGTGAAGCTCTTTCAGCAAGCGTGGCACAGCTTATTCACTGAGCCTATAACTGCCTTTCCACCCACACCTATCTCCAGAGCTCCTGCCTTTATTTCCAACTGTCTGTTGAGCATCTCTACTCTTGGCCCACAAGCGCCTCACACTCAGCAAACATCTCCAAAGTAGAACTCCTCCTCTCCCTCTCTGCCTTTCACCAGCCCCCTGGCAGGGGGCAGCACTGCCACCTGAGAAGAGCAATTTCTGTGGGGATTTCAATGATATACAAGTAGAAAGCCTGGGTGTTCAGCAATGTTGGTTCTCCCACCCTCTGTCCCTCTTGATTCCTTGTTTCCTTCCTTTTCTCTTTTCCCGAGGAAGAAAAATTCTCAACATAGGGAAAAAGCAAAGCTCATAGGCTTGCCAAGGAGAATGTGCTTGCCCTTGAAGGTAGAAAATACTCTTTAGACAGAGAAGCCAGGCATGAGAGTCTCAAGAGGAAAGTGACACTCAGAGTGGATACTTTTTACCACGTGTTTACTGACCAAGACTCAGGTGAGAGGGGAGATGAGGTGGGTGATGACAACGGAGCCGGCTGGACTCATCCTGGCT